CGTGTACAGTACTGTACAGTATGTGGTTGTTGCCCCATCATTTTTTATATCACAAAAGTCCTGGCAATATGAACACCTGTGTGTGTGTGTGTGTGTGTGTGTGTGTGTGTGTGTGTGTGTGTGTGTGTGTGTGTGTGTGTGTGTGTGTGTGTGTTTTTTTTAATAGCCTTTATACTCCAGGTATCAAATTCAAGACCCGGGGTCAGATCTGGCCCGCCACGTCATTTTATGTGGCCCGCGAGAGCAAATCATGTGTGTCAACTTGCATGATCGTTGCTAAAATGTGCACCAAAATGTCAAATTGTCATGTGTAATGAATAAGAGATGAGATTTTGCAAGAATTTTGTTATCCTGTTTACACTCACTTGAACTATAATTGAACAAACTATTATAATTGACTCATTTCAAAACTAGTAATCCAAAAACTTGTGTACAAATAATAAGGCGATGAGACGATTGAAAATGTTTGTGGTTTCAATGGCCCTTCAAGGGAAGACGTAACTCCGAAGTGGCCCGAGACAGAAATGAGTTTGACACGCCTGCTTTATACAGTTGCCACATCACACACCACTCCACCTGGTGTCATCTTTTAAATGCAGATATGCAACATACAGACAATACAACACGAGGTATTTTCCATACCTTTTATCCTTATTATTTTGTTTGTTTTCAAACACATCTAAAATGTTGATGTCTTGAATGGTGGGTTTTAATCTGTTTCAAGTACATGGACGGATTAAAATTATTTTAATGATCCATCCATCCATCCATTTTCAAGACCGCTTATCTTCACAAGGGTCGTGGTGGGAGCTGGAGCCTATCCCATCTGACTTTGGGTGGAAAGCAGACTACACCTTGTACTGGTCGCCGGTCAGTCGCAGGGGACATCTAGAGACAAATAACCATTCACACCCACATCCACACCAATCCCACGCTGCCTGCTCACAAGTCAGGTGAGTGTACGTTACACCATCAGCGATGCCTATTATTATTATTATTATTATTTATTTATTTATTTATTTATTTTATTATATGGAATTTTAATATATTGTGTGGGAACAGTTCTCCTGTGATATGAAAATGTGTGAGGAAACCAAAGCAAACCATGCAAGCACGGGTTAGTGTCAACCACTTGTAAAACTGTGTCTGTGCATTACTTCTAAAATAATGTACATAAAAAATACTTTTGCATGTTAACGTGAGGTTTGAATAACAAGCTTGTGTAACTAGACTCAAGGATTATATTTGTCTCAGGTCCCAAAAGGTCGAGTATTAGCCAAACAGATACACGTCAATGTTGTCACGTTACGTGTTGGTGATGGACCCCAAAAAGCAGGCAAGAGGGAGGAGCAGGGTGTACTTGACAAATTGTATTAAAACAGAGAAAACTAAATCCAAAACAAACAAAGTCCAAAGTATCAAACAAAAACCATGGCAGAAGCTCAAAACTAATCGGAACAGAAACATGACCTAAACATGACAGAACAAACAAACATGACAGCAGCAAAGAAACAAACAATGACCCAACAATGAGTGGTCGGGAGGGAGTCCTTTTATACAACTAATAACATAACGACCAACAGGTGTGCAGCTGCAGGGGGAGCCCTACAGTGCCATCTGTTGGTCACAAACAGAATCATGACAAATGTAATGGATTTTACGAAGAGGCATAAGAAACAATGGAAAACGCAAAAGCTGGAAGTTGGACTAAGAAGCACAATAGCCTCCCACGCTACTTGTGAAGTGCCACACTATAGTACTTTAACGTCAAGGCGTTTCTCAGCAGACGAACGTGGAATGCAGAAATTCTGCACGAACAGCATGTGCTCTCACGACTGTCTGTGACCCAATGTTGAATTTTGATTGTGACAGTTCAGGAGATGACTGCATGCTAGCTGTTGCCAAGGTATATATCGCTGGTATCCAGCGGAATCTGTGCCTCTTCATAACTTTTCTGGAAACCAAAATAACTGTTGAGTCATTTGTATCATCAAAAGAGCAAGCCATTTAACATTTTATAGCAGTCAAACATTTGTAAAAATTACACGTGTGTTGATTTGTGGAGGAAAAAAAAATTAATTGACTACATTTTCATTTTGAAGGTTTCAGTCTGACACTTGGCGAACTTCCTTAAGGTAGGCAAAACTTTCACATGATGGTATTTGAGGGGACAAAAAAGCCTCATGAACTTGATTTCCATTTGAGTTTTCTATTCCGTATTGTTGAAAAAACTGTATTTTGTGTGATGTCTTGTGGTCACATGGTCTACAAGGCCAGTCAGGTTCATTAACACCTTTTTTTTAACATGTTTGGGTTAAAGTGGGTATCGAGAGTTACAGTGACAAGATGTATGTGACTTTTTTGGGGTTGGTGAGTAGCGTAGCTGACTCTGCTGTCAGCTGCTTGACAAACAATATACCTGTTCTTCAAACTGTAACATGTAAAAAAGATGACATGAAAAACCAAGTGTTCTTGAAGGAATTAGATTGCATTGAGGTATTTGTGTGAAAAGTGAATGTATGCATTATCCATCCATTTTCTGATCCGCTTTATCCTCACAAAGGTCGCAGCTGGAGCCTATCCCAGCTGTCTTGGGGCAGTAGGCGGGGGACATCCTGAACTGGTTGCCAGCCAATCGGAGGACATACATGACACACACAGATGCACAACCATCCGCGCTCACACTCACACCTCGGGACAATTTAGAGTGTTCAATCAGCCTGCCACACATGTTTTTGGAATGTGGGAGGAAACCGGAGTACCCGGAGAAAACCCACGCAGGCCCGGGGAGAACATGCAGACTCTACACAGGAAGGCCGGAGCTGGGATCAAACCCACGACCTCTGCACTGTGACGTCCATGGGCTAACCACTCGCCCACTGGGCCGTCCTTGCATAATCTATGTATGTTGCATATCTATGTCCATGTAATTGTCACACTGTTCCCCAATATGAAAGACAACATCTCACCGATTTGTGTGATTATTGAGCTGCAAAAAAAAAAAAAAATCTCCAGGGTTTTCCCATTTGTCCATGCAGGTCTACAGGAAATGGACTCGAATATGTGATGTTCATTGTTTTGTGTCCATATTATTCTGTTTTGCTGCAATGTCATTTTGAAGGTAGCCCAAAGATTCTGACAGACCACTGAACATCTGATCCGCCATCAGGTGATGAATACAATCCATCTTTATGAATATAGCGCTTTAACAATGCTGCAGCTGTAACAAAGCGCTTTACAGAAATTTGATATAAAATAACAAATAATACAGCTGAACATATATGCCATTTGTCAGTTTCAAAATGAGGAAAAGGCATTTGCTTTGACCACAAATGTTCTTACTATGGGTTTCAAATGATTTGAATGCAATTAGAATTAAGGAGGATTTGTTCATTGGCATTGCATCAGACATGATTCAGACCTTAAGTCTAATGGCACTTATAGGTAGCCATTAACACTCATAATTCACACCTATTAAGAAAATGTGAGCCTTTGATGAACTCAACATGCATGTTTTTGCAACACTGGATGGAGGCCAGCGTACTCAGAGAAAACCCACATAAACTTGGGGAGAAACTTTACACTTGAGGGCTTAAGATTGGAACCCAGAACCTCTTGACTGTGATTCAGACATTTTAACCCTGACACACACTTATGGTCCAATGTATTTAAGTTAAATGTCAGACTTTACAATTCCAATGCTGTTTTGGTGAAAATTATTCCAATCATTAACATTGTAACATCACTGATCACTTTCAGATTGAAGTAACGAGTGCAGTCTTACCTTTTGTATGATAAACACGCCTTAATGGGGTTATGTGTTGAATGTGTTGTTTTGATCACCTCTAATTGGCACATCGCTCCTGAGGTGTCATGTGACCTTTTGTCAGAGGAGGTCTCATTAGCTTAGAAAGGTGCTAGCGTCTAATGGGTCGACTAGTATGGTCTCTAAGGACCAAATTTGGTTTACAGAAAATCGGTGTGAGTTTATGAACGGGTGTGGCTGTCAGGGGGGTCTGTGCTTGGAGGCGGGGCTAAGAAATCATGTGACATACTATGATACTGGTCCTCAGTGTGTTTTAGTGTGATGTTTGACGTTTCTTTTTTTTTTTCTGCCGAGACTGAGTCAATTAGTCCAACTGTATTTCCAAATTTATTTTTTAGCATTGTGATAATATACAATACTTAAAATGTATTGATATATTTTTAACATTGATTTGACCTTTTTAAGTCCTGTTGGGATCTTTTTCAAAACAGGCCATGGACACCTGACTTTATGAGCCATTTAGTCTGACGTCACAAATGATTTGGAAACCTTTACATTGTTTTACTATAATTGTATTCGTTTTGTTTTTCTTGAATAAACCCTATTTAATAAAGTACCTATGAATGCTTGCATTTTTAGTGTATTCATTCGACTATAATTGTTGACTTGAAAATAGTTCACTGTATTTGATGACTTGTTTTCTAAATTTGCCCTGCAATGTAATAGGATAATATTGAACACATTCACATGAAATGCAACAATATACTTTTATTGCAATAAGCAATGATGAGTAAAATCTACACACATTTTACCTGTGAAAGTACTATACATTGGTTAAAAATCTCACACAGTATGCAGAACACTTTATTTGAATGCACAGGTAAAAATGACAGTTAATAAAAACAGTGAAGCACATTTTACATATGTAAATATTTACTCTAAGCAGATGGAGCAGTGGATAAACATTTTTGGAGACAAACTCAAGGTTGTGCAGCTAAAAGTGAAATCAGGGAGTCACAGTTGCACATGAACAGAAAGTCAGAAATGCAGTTTTGCCTGCGCTGTATGTGACGACTGGTGCGGTGCTCAAATTAAAATTGTTGGACAAAATGAAAATGTGATAAAATGAGCAATGAAGTGTAATTTTAACACTGAAACAAAACAAAAAGGTAGCACGGTGTTTTATACATATTTGTCTCACATTTTATCAGCTAAACACAAGTAACGGTTGCATCTACATTATGTTGGGCTGCTGAAAGTCAGGCTTCAGAATCTGCAGTGTCACAATGAGCTTCATGGATTTCCTGAACCAGGGATAGAAAATGGCATAGATCATTGGATTCAGACAGGAGTTTAAGTAAAACATGCTGATAATAAAGGTTGCAGATGACGCATTGAGCAGTGTGTTCTGTCCCGAGATGGCGACGCAGAAATACGGCATGATACACACAATGAACACGACCACCAACACCCCGAGGGTCCTGGCTGCTTTCAGCTCAGAACTTTTGATGGCTGGACCCTGCAACGTGACGCTCCCCACACGGGAGTGCATGGCCCGTGCATGAGACACAGCCACCATAAACACTCTCGTATACAGAATCACAATCACAGTGATCGGGCCTATGAAGGAGAGAAAGAGGTCTGTCATTCCTGCGACGTACGACACTACATTCACGCACTCTCCGACACAGGTGTTGAACCTGCCCGGTTGCTTCAGATTGTCCATGGAACATAAACAGTTGAAGAGAAATGACGCCGACCAACATAAGAGAACAGAGATATCCACCCTGGTTTTTGTAACCTTGATGGTGTAACACAGAGGGTCACAGATAGCCAGGTAGCGGTCGACTGATATGAACACCATGCTTCCTATTGAGGCGGATGTGACAGAGTGATCCACAACAAAATACAAAACACACACCAAGTCACCGAAGAGCCAACAACCTCCAAGGAGGGAAATCGGAAACAACATGAGGAAACCCACCAGCAAGTCGGCGGCGGCAAGAGAAAGCAGCAGGAGGTTAGTGGGGGTGTGCAGCTGCCTAAAACATACAAAAACTCATTATTATTATTATTATTATTATCAGTCATCAATTGTGAATGTACAAGTAGCAGTTCAAGCATTACTTAAAGTGGGAGATGGAGATGATGACCAGCAGGTTCAGAGTGACGGTGATCAGAGACATAGCCGATAGGAGGATGTAGGTGGCGATCGGGTGAGGACGCTGTGTCTTGCTGCAGGAAGCGTTGACGACCAGTGGGAAGCACAACTCAGCTTCCACTGAGGTCTCCATTATCAGGGTGTAACGAAATGATCCGGATAGGTGTGGATCCCACGTAGGGAAGGATAAGTTTATGGTACCAAAAAAAAAAAAAATACAAATGGAAATTGCTTGTCTCAAAAGGACAAGAGAATCAAATCAGGACAAATACCAGCCAAGAACAACTTTCGAAACAAAATGACTACATACAAGAAAACAGAGAGCAATAAACAAGGAAGAAGAGCAACAGAGCAAAATCTGTAACATGTAGAAAATTGCACATGAACAATGACTTGACCAAGGCGAATTATCCAACAGTCAGTGCTTGGCAGGAGAGTCCTTAAATAGTGGTTTGATTGATCATGCCGGGAAATAGGTGTGTAGCTGGAAAGATCGGAACACCTCTGTCACCTGCTGGAAACTAACAGAAACTGAATCATGACACAGGGAAGCAGTGGACGAGCCGCCCCCCTTTGACTGGACTTGGCTTTTTATTTCATCCCATCTAACAAACACCACGTCATACCCTGCATCACTTTTTCCACCTCCTTCATCATCTTCCTCTCCTTTCACTATTCTCCCATACTTTGCCGTCAGTGTTATTTTGGGATTAATAACTACTGGTAATCATTAAGCCTTTATTATCTCTATGGCCGATGAGTTGGGCAAGAAGTAGACGTGACATCTTAAGGGAATTAGAATTCAACATGGTTTGCATACTCTCAAGCGGCTACCCACTCACTTTAAACTACCAACAATTTTTTATTCATTCATTCATTTATAGCTTTCAAATTTCACAAAAATATGTTTAATCGTGAAACAATCTGAATTTTGCAGCACTTAGTTAGTTAATTATCATTGTGCAACTGAGAAGTTATTGTTTGTTCATACTATCCACAGTCACAAGGTTTCATGAACTCAAACGCATACATATCGGAACCTCAACACACTCATCCAACCAAGATCAAGTCTAAATAAATTGTATATTAATAATATGAAGTCCAAGATGGCGCCCGAGTAGGCAGCCATCTGCAAGTGCTCTCATGAGCCTTGCTTTTTTTGTTGTTTTTCTGTTTGTTTTGTCACTTTGTGTTTGTTGTTACGTCGTGTGGACCTGATGTGGACTGTTTCAGCATTTTTTGGCCACGACATTCATCAAGGAGGAGACTCGGTGCTTGGTGGTTTTGCCTTCTCGGCAGCATGGGTATGCCAGCACTGTTTTTGATTGGGAGGAATGTCGGCGCCATTTGACTGTCGTTGCTGGACAGCTCCGGGGGCGCTTGTGTCTTGCGCCTGTAATGGGCAGCATTTTCACAGCCCCGCTTTGTTCAGCGGAGAGATCGGTGCTGTTGAACGGTCTGCGGCTGGATGGATGCAAGGCTTGAGGAGCCGACGATGAGAAGAAAGGAGCGTTAGCGCAGAGCGCCAATGCGGATGTGGAACCGGGAGTCGCGGCTTGGAGTTGAAGCGGATTACGTGGGACAGGAGTAGTGAACTAATCTCTTTTTGTCAATGGACGCTACAGCTTCGTGTTTGCTTTCAAAACTTAGCTTGTAGCAGACGTGCACATTTTCAGCATGACGTCTCTGATCCACTGGTAAAAGGACACTTTGATCCTCTCCTCTTTCATCTATAACTGCTTCAGACAACAAAGTGTATGCAGGAAAGTGGTGACGATTGCACGACTATCTGTGTCCTATGTGTTGTGTTGTGTTATTTTTGTTATTTTGACTTCAAAATGGCGCCGCGAGAGTGGCTGTCCTTTCCAGCAGCTCCTATATTTTGTTGTTCTACTTCTTCCTTTCATAACTTTGCTGCTGTGAATTGGGAATTTCTCCATTGCGAGACTAATAAAGGTTTTCTTATCTTATCTTATCTTATCTTATCTTATATATATAATAAATGTATATTTTTATATAGTAACTAAAGCTGAGCTTTAGTTACTATATATACCACTGTATTTGCTGTTACATTGTTTAAAGTATACTTATTTTTCATGCATTTAGTTGCTAATAGCCAATCACAGCCGAAATCATTTTTCATACTGCAATTAATGGCCTGTACGTTCAAATAATAAAATCACAAAGGCACAATGACACAAAAATTTACGAATTCTTCACAATTCTAAATGCTGCTTTTTACTATGTTGAACGTGTTGAACAAGGTTCTGGATATGTGTGCATTTTAATTCATGAAACCATGACTGTGGATGATATGATAAACAATGACTTCTTAGCAGTGGTGGTCCAAGGCAATTTTTTATTCTGAGGTAGCAGGGGCTTGGCAGGAAGTTCCTTTGGGAGGGTGGAGGTTAGTACTGCACATACAAACAGGCATGGTATGCACTCATATCTAAATCAGGTTTCATGTCACGTGAGTAAGATATCAATGTTAAGCACGAACCCAGTCTGAGTGGGCTATGCAATAACAATTCTCAACTAGGATTATTTTATAATAGGATTATTTTGGGAATTCATGAGTCATCGATAGGAGTTGCACTTAGTCGACTAATCGGATCATGTAAGTCGTAGCAAATTGCTCCATCATGCAGCTACTCTTATATTACGTCATTATCGAACACCCCGAATTCTTGAACGCGTGTACAAATACCGTATTTTCCGCACTAAAAGGCGCACCTAAAAGCATTCCATTTTCTTAAAAGCTCACAGCGCGCCTTAAAATCTGATGCGCCTTGTGTATGGTTATTACGGTAATATGTCGACCCCCAAAATGGCTCCTTGCTAGAGACATGCTGACAACGCAGTGTTCAAACTTAAGGTGATCGGGTTACACAGTTGAACACGGAAATGGAGCGCGGCAAGAGAGTTCAACGTTAACGAGTCAATGTTATAACTTGCTGTTGGTTAAGTGAACTGTGTCGCTGCTTTAATAAATAAGTTTTACTGACATCTGATTGTTCTGTTTGCATTTCCTTGAGCGTAGCTCCATCTAGTGGATGCATTGTAGATTGTGTCTTATAATGCGGTGCGTCCAATATGTGAAAAAAATTACAAAATAGGCCATTCATTGAAGGTGTGCCTCATAATCCAGTGCGCCTTTTAGTGTGGAAAATACGGTAAGTTAAAAAAGTCAATTCTATTAAACCTTGCAGTTTGTACCAACATTCCTGACATGTTTATACATGATGCTGGAACGTTTTAGCGATATCTGCATTTTAACATGGAACCAACAACTATTGTGTGTATACACGATGCACACTTGCACTGTGAACACTATGAAAGTATCTATAAATACAAAAATAAGTATTGGTAAACATATTTCATGCTTGTCAGGTATTGAGCGTTTTTTAATGCAGGATACAGTTCAATCGGATGAGTAGAATTAGGAAAAGGAACTGTGCTAAAGAAAACTAAAATAAACACTTTATTTTATTGGATATTATTTTTTACATAGCCTTTATGTTTCCAAAACGAGTTACTTTGCTTCACTAGTTTGTATAATTTAAAGACAATTAATCAACAAAATCAAAATGTGGTATGCACCCTGAAACTGAAAAAGAAAACTTAAGATTAGAAGTAACTTTTTCTAAGCGCTGTAAAAATACTGTATGTTGCAATGAGCAGCGTTTTAGATGTGTGGTTCTTTTCCTTTAAGTTCTTGAATTTACGAATTTGTCAATGCATCACTGAACCACATGTGGAAATGAGCAGCAGAGAAAGAGAGTGGTGTGTGTTTATGTGAGAGGGAGAGAGAGAGAGAGAGAGAGAGAGAGAGAGAGAGAGAGAGAGAGAGAGAGAGAGAGAGAGAGAGAGAGAGAGAGAGAAATGAAATGGATGAATGCAAGTCACTGTAGTTATTTAACTAAGTGATCAACAGTCCCCTTCGAAAGTATTGGAACGGCAAGGTCAATTGCATCACTTTTGTTGTATATACTGAAAATTATTTTGAGTTTTAGACCAAAAGACGAATATGAGACAAATGTTCGGATTCAGAATTCCAGCTTTTATTTCATGGAATTTACATCTAAATGTGTTAAACAACACAAGAGAGAGAGCCCCGGAGGTCGACTGCGGTTCGTGTGTCGGCCTCACAGTGCAGAGGTGCAAGGCTCCAGCCTTTCTGTGTGGAGTTTTTTTTTTTTTCTGCTCAATAATCACATAAATCGGTGAGACAATGTCTTTCATATTGGGGAAGAGTGTGACAATTACATGGACATAAATAATGCAAGGGCGGCCCAGTGGGCAAGTGGTTCGCCCGTCGACCTCACAGTGCGGAGGTCGTGGGCTCGATCCCGGCTCCGGCCTTCCTGTGTGGAGTTTGCATGTTCTCCCCATGCCTGCATGGGTTTTCTCCGGTTCCCTCCCACATTTCAAAAGCATGCGTGGCAGGCTGATTGAACACTCAAAATTGTCCGCAGGTGTGAGTGTGAGCGCAGATGTTTATTCGTCAATGTGTGCCCTGCAATTGCCCTGCAGGGTGTACCCCGCCTACTGCCCAAAGACAGCTGGGATAGGCTCCAGCACACCCCGTGACCCTTGTGAGGAGAAGCGGATCAGAAAAGGGATGGATGGATGGATGTAATAATGCATTTATTCATATTCATGAATTATTATGAAACATCACAGGTATAAAGTATTATGCATAGTAAAATCCGCATTGCACACTAAAATTAAAAAGAAAATATCTCCAAAACCTGACATGCTTGGAAACAAAATAATTTATTAAATCTGTGTCAAAAATACATTTAGGGACACATATAGCCATCTCGGATTAAAATTTGCTGTTGACCAGTCCATCCATGCATTATCTGAACCTCCTTATCCTCACGAGGATTGCAGGTGTGCTGGAGCACATGAGCTGTAATAGTCATCTCAGCCAGAGAACATATCCCATGAGTTTTCTTTCTTTTTTTTCAGTAAAATAATAGAGGACTGACTACCAAACAGCTATACTGTATTAACCCTAAACTCTTACTGCCTTTTATTATCATACCCATCAGATCAGATGCGGCAAGTATGTCATAATGATGAAGATTGTTTCGGATTGTGTACCTTGCAAATGTGAAAAAATCCAAGGGGTGCAATGGTGAAATTGATACCAAATCTAACGAGAAGTAATTTCATAGTATCACAAAATAGAAAAACAGATTATTTGTATGTGGAATCTTCAAGCTGTTGCATTTGTTTTCCTCTGCCCACAGCAGAACTGTCGTGCAGGGTGACATAAATAAACATTGAACCAAAACAGATGCAACAGTCAAAATGGTCAAACACACATGATATATTTCTTTACAGTTCTTTGGGACACCTCCCAAAAAAGCACATCTTGTGATGGTACTTTCACAATTATTTTGCATAATGCTTTTTTCAATCAATAACACGACAAATTCATAATATTTCAAAGACAAAACAATAGAGGTCTTTCAATGGAGAATGCTTGTTTGCAGCATAAACTAAATCACTCAACAAAAGACCACTAACTCAAGACAAAATATCAAATGATCCACATTTGAACAAAAATGGAGAATTGTTCGATTCTGCACAGCATGACAGATGACAAGCATGCTGGCTTGTCTACATGATGTTGGCCTGGCTGGAATCAGCCTTCAGGATCTGCAGTGTCACTATGATCTTGATGGACCTTCTGAACCAGGGATAGAAAATGGCATAGATCAATGGATTCAAACAGGAGTTGAGGTAGAACAAACAGATGATAAAGGCTGCAGATGACGCATTGAGCATGACATCCTGGCCAGAAATGGCGATGCAGAAATATGGCATGATGCATGCCATAAACACCACCACCACAACACCCAAGGTCCTGGCTGCCTTCAGATCAGAACTCTTAATAGTTGTGCTGCGCAATGTGACGATCCCCACGTGGGATCGAGTGGCCCGGGCATGAGACACAGCCACCACAAACAGTCTCAGATACAGAAAAACAATGACAGCGAGCGGGCCGATGAAGGAGAAAAAGAGGTCCGTCATTCCTACAGCGTACGTGACCACAATCACACACTCACCTACACAAGTGTTGAACTTGCCAGGTTGCTTCAGAGAGTCAAAAAAACAAAGACAGTGGAATACTAACGAAACGGACCAACACAGAAAAACACCGATTTTAACTCTTAGTTGAGTGACTTTGATGGGATAACGGAGAGAATCACAGATAGCCAAGTAGCGGTCGACTGATATGAGCACCATGCTTCCGATTGAGGCAGACGTGATGACGTAATCCAGAATATAATACGCAACACACATCAAGTCACCAAAAAACCAACACCCGTCAAGAAGATAAATCTGAAACAACATGAGGAAGCCCACCAAGAAGTCCGAGGCGGCCAGCGAAAGCAGCAGCAGGTTTGTGGGAGTATGTAGTTGCCTAAACAAAGATAAACGCTGATTATAACCTCTGGATTTGGACAGAAGGCATGACGGTACAAGTTAAAAAAAGAAGGAAAAAAAAAGCACAATGCATTACTTGAAGTGAGAGATGGAAATGATGACCAGCAGGTTCAGAGTGAAAGTGATGAGAGAGATGGCAGACAGCAGCATGTAGGCGAGAGCAGCGACTGAAGGAGGACGCTGCGTCTTCTTGCAGGAAGTGTTGACGAGCAGAGGGAAGCACAGTGCGTCTTGCTCCTGCATCGCCATCATCAGGGAGAGCAGAAGAGGAGTTGCCCCTCAACTCAGCCAGCTCTTTCTTCAGGACGATATTCATACCGTCGGTCCATAGCATATGACCGTGGCTACGCCTCTTTTTCCACCGCATCATCATAATCCTCCCATACTTTGACATCAGTATTCTTTGGGGATCGAATGATCTCTTGGCCGCTCTCGCTGCAGGAGAAGAAATCACTCATCTCATACACATCCTCATCAACCCAAAACATCCATCTGTAAAGTAAATACAATAGCTTGGACATGCACGATTTCCCTCTCCTGTCCACAGTCTACCAGTCACTGCTCCCATCTCTCCCCTGCCGTCTTTGCTCCCTCCTCTGGTCATCCCTGAGGCCTCTCCTTACCCTGTGGCCTGCGGTCTTCACACGGCATCTACTTCTTCTCCTTCCTCGACCAAACCCTAGCCACCCATGACACCTTCTCGTCCGCTGTTCCCCCTGTCTACACTAAGAGTCAGGGATTCCATAGGTAGGATTATTCATTTCTTCAATGTAGTCTCACAATGTTTTTCTGGAGCCACAGACCCCGGAATTCTGGACAAACTTCTCTGCTTGCTCCTGCCTCCATCCAGAGCAGGGGTGGCCAACCCACGGCTTGCGAGCCGCCTGCTGCTCTTTGGCTGGTTCAATGCGGCTCCCGGGCTTTCACACGACAAGCGTCGAAAACGCCTCGGCGGTGGCGCTGCCATTCAAACAACGGCGCTAAATACACAGAACTAACTACGTCAGCCTATCATCAATCCCGTTACTTGATTGACATACAGGGCAACCAATCAGATGACAACTGAATCAACGCTCATGCGCAAACAACGGTGCTCAGCGCTAAGCACTAAGCTAGTCAGCTTTAAGGGTAGGGATGCCCAATACATCAATCACGATCGACCCGGAGCCAGCGGACTGGTCCCAAGTCGAGCGCAAGCGTTGGGAGGAGGAAATGGGGGGTGGGGGGTATGTCTGTGTGTTTCGTTTTTGTTCGTGTTCAGTGAAGTTCTGGCTCTCACTCATCTCGGTCTCTATGCATGCCTGCGTATGCGCACGTGTGCGCACGTGTGCGTGCGTGCCTGTGTGCGTGTGCGTGTATGTGTGTGTGTGTGTGTGTGTGTGTGTGTGTGTGTGTGTGTGTGTGTGTGTGTGTGTGTGTGTGTGTGTGTGTGTGCGCGTGTGTATGCTTGCACGTGCGCAATCGGTTGATGATGGGAGGTTTGTAATCAGATTCACAATCAGAGCTTTTGCAATGTCGCCTTTATTATTATTATTATTATTTTATTTTTTTTTTTGTTATTATCAGGCAAAGTGCGTGACGTACAATTCACCGATGTCACTCGCAAAGAATGGTGTCATGATTCGGTTTGGGACCAACAGGTGGCACTGGAGGGCTCTCCCTGCAGCTGCACACCTGTTGGTCATTATGTAATTAGTGTTTTAAAAGGACTCACAGCCCGAACACTCAGTGTCAGCTCATTGTTGCTCTTTGCTACTGTGATGTTTGTTTGTTGCCGTTTCTCTGCTGCTGTCACGTTTGTTTTGGTCATGGTTCTGTTTTAGCTTTAGTTATGATTTTTGTTTGCTACTTTGGACTATGTTTGTTTTGGATTTAGTTTTCTCTGTTTTAATACACTTCTTCAAGTACAACCTGCTCCTCCCTCCTGCCTGCTTTTTTTGGGGTCCACCACCACCTCGCATCGTGACAAATGGCAGTCTGGACGGCCGAGAAAAGCATTTTAAAACGGCACGCGTGAGCTACGATAGTTAACAGGCTGTAAAAGTGTGTCGCATGCCTCCGCGTCAAGCTGTTGTTCATCATAGCATGCGTGTGTAAGTGCGTGCCTATGCGCGCGTAACAGGTCGATCGCGGGAGGTCGGTTGATCGAAAAGTAGATCTTCGGTCAAAAACGTTTGGGCACCCCTGATCTAAAGCATACAGTGTAGCGGCCCTCGAAGACTGGATTTTGACACGTGATCTCCTTCCTCCAACATCCATGACTTTTTTTTTTTTTTTTGATAAGGAATGAGGCAGCACAGTGTTCGACTGGTTAGCATGCCTGCTTTACAGTGCAGTGGTGCAGGGTGCAATTCCAGATCCCAGCCTTCCTGTGTGGAGTTTGCATTTTCTCGACACAAATTTGCATACTGTATTTTATGACATATCAGAGTAACTAAAAACCAAGACAAGAAATTTCAGATTGTCCGGAACGGACACAAATCACATTCTCGGGAAGTCACATGTATCGAGTTTTTCCTCTGGATGTGAGGCAGCCAGGGGGGTGGCCTGGCCACCCGTGGCCACCAAGGAGCTCCCCCACTGGTTGCAGCACACCTTGCTGTGTACAGTGGCTCCACGCAAATTCATGGTTTGGCCTTTTCAAATTCATTTATTCACCTTTTTGTTTTTTGACATATCCACACTTTATGCATGTTATTTTCACCCGGTCCCGCACTTGTTTTCGTGTTTTTTTCCGGATTTTTTTTCTTTACTTTCCCCACCTTATTTGCTTTTCATGGTTAGGCTAGTTGCAAATAGTGGGGGGTTACTGTGTCTCTGTGGTGTGTTGAATTTACTCAGTTTTATTTTGTCAAGCGCCTGCACACAAATGAATCATCTGGATTTCGATATTCTACATTTTTTTAAGTCGATGTGTGTCTACTTACAAAATGTATCTGGATCCAATGATTTTATTTCATGGAAGAACTTGAAATAAAATTGAGTAAATCCAACAAACATTTTTTTCAGAGTTTATTAGTCTTATGGTGTAAGCAGTCAGGGAAAAAAAAACACTCATGAATATCTTCATTTATAAAATATCTCCATTATTTCCCGTTGTATGATCACCTCATAGATCTCTTACTTGCCATTACTTCCCTTCTGAGGTGGCATCATGAAAGAAAATTAAGTCCATAGTATCATAAAATATAGAAACATATTATATCTGTGAGGAATCGACTGTATTTTACAGGATAAAATGCATCTGATTGCTCCAAGAAAACTATTGCATTTCTAACTCTTCGCATAGCAGAATTGTTGACAGGCTGACATAACTAATTATTGAACCACAACAGATGCAGAAGTCAAAATTGTCAGGACTGTATTACATGATTTCCCCCCTCTCCGCACCCCCCGAGTTCTTTTGTACCACTCCTCCCATAATATATTTCATGTGATGGTGCTTTCGCACTTGCATCCCAACTTATTTCATGTGAATTTTATTTTTTGCATGATGTTTTTTACTCCACATTGAAACAATAACACTCCAAAATCTACCAGTCTTTGAGACAAAACAATGAAGATCTTTTAAATGTGAAAAAGAATGGCGAATGTGCTTTGATGTGGACAGCTTGAAAGCATGGACGCTTGTTTGCAGCACAAACCAACTCGCTTAATAAAAGATGAATAACTCTCAAGACAAAATATCAAATGATCCACATTTGAACAAAAATGGAGAATTGTTCGATTCTGCACAGCATGACAGATGACAAGCATGCTGGCTTGTCTACATGATGTTGGCCTGGCTGGAATCAGCCTTCAGGATCTGCAGTGTCACTATGATCTTGATGGACCTTCTGAACCAGGGATAGAAAATGGCATAGATCAATGGATTCAAACAGGAGTTGAAGTAGAACAAGGAGATGATTAACGCTGCAGATGATGCATTGAGCACAACTTCCTGGCCTGAGATGACGATGCAGAAATATGGCATGATGCATGCAATAAACACCACCACCACAACACCCAAGGTCCTGGCTGCCTTCAGCTCAGAACTCTTGATAGTTGTGCTGCGCTCTGTGACGATCCCCATATGGGACCGTGTCGCCCGGGCATGAGACATAGCCACCACAAACACTCTCATATACAGAAACACAATAACAGTGAGTGGGCCTATGAAGGAGAAAAAGAGGTCCGTCATTCCTACAGCATACGTGACGACAACTACACACTCGCCTACACAAGCGTTGAACCTGCCTGGTTGCTTCAGGGAATTAAGAAAACAAAAACATTGGAAAACTAACGAAGCAGACCAACACAGAAAAACACAGATTTTAACTCTTAGTTGAGTGACTTTGATAGGATAACGCAGAGAGTCACAGATAGCCAAGTAGCGGTCGACTGATATGAGCACCATGCTTCCTATTGAGGCAGACGTTATCACGTAATTCAGAACATGATACGCAACACACATCGAGTCACCAAAAAACCAACAACCATCAAGAAGGAAAATCTGGAACAATACGAGGAAGCCTACCAAGAAGTCTGAGGTAGCCAGCGAAAGCAACAGCAGGTTTGTGGGAGTTTGCAGTTGCCTAAACAAAGATAAGCGCTTATTATTACCTCTGGATTTGGACAGCAGGCATGACAGTACAAGTTAAAAAAAGAAGGGAAAAAAAGCACAATGCATTACTTGAAGTGAGAAATGGAAATGATGACCAGCAGGTTCAGAGTGAAAGTGATGAGAGAGATGGCTGACAGCAGCATGAAGGAGAGAGCGGCGGCTGAGGGAGGACGCTGCATCTTCCTGCAGGAAGCGTTGACGAGCAGAGGGAAGCACAGTGCGTCTTGCTCCTGCATCGCCATCATCAGGGAGAGCAGAAGAGGAGTTGCCCCTCAACTCAGCCAGCTCTTTCTTCAGGACGATATTCATACCGTCGGTCCATAGCATATGACCGTGGCTACGCCTCTTTTTCCACCGCATCATCATAATCCTCCCATACTTTGACATCAGTATTCTTTGGGGATCGAATGATCTCTTGGCCGCTCTCGCTGCAGGAGAAGAAATCACTCATCTCATACACATCCTCATCAACCCAAAACATCCATCTGTAAAGTAAATACAATAGCTTGGACATGCACGATTTCCCTCTCCTGTCCACAGTCTACCAGTCGCTGCTCCCATCTCTCCCCTGCCGCCTTTGCTCCCTCCTCTGGTCATCCCTGAGCCCTCTCCTCACCCTGTGGCCCGCGGTCTTCACACTGGCAGCACGCCGAGTCCCCGCTCCTCTCTACATGCGCCCCTTCATCGCCCAGCACAAATTCCTCTGCGTCATCCACTCCTTCTCCATCCTCGACCAAACCCTAGCCACCCATGACACCTCCTTGTCCCCTGTTCCCCCTGTCCACAATAAGAGTCAGGGATTCTATAGGTAGGAATATCCGTTTCTTCAATGCAGTCGCACACTGTTTTTCTGGAACCACGGGCCCCGACATTCTGGACAAACTTCCCTGCCTGCTGCAGGCACTGCCTGCT